TTGACTAGCATGAAATTTGCTGAAGGCTGCCAACCTGGCGGACTATGAGAGGCTCTATCCGAACAAGATGTACCCCGACTTGCAGCAGATGGCCTCCAAGATGCGAGGTCGAGGAGAAACGCAGGACCAGTCCCTGCAAACGTTGACAACGAACAGTGGCAAAATTTTCTCTCGAGAGTCTTGCTTCCGATTCAGATTCAGCACAGTAGAGACGAGTCTCACTAAGACTGATACTCCTGAGGCATTGGTGGAGGGTTTAGGGTTTAGGGTTTGGGGGGCAGCATGACGGACGGATTGTGATAATAAGGAGCTGGAAAGATACCTCCACCCGGAGGAAGCGCTATCTACCCATCTTCTTCCGATGACTGCTTCCCAAAGCAGTGCGTGTGGCAGCCCAAAGCTGAACATGCGACAAGTGCCACCTACTGAGATGGTCAGAATGGCAGGCAATGCTATGTCAGTACCGGTGGTGGGCGCTATTTGCCTCGTTTGTATTTTAGGTCTGGAGCGAACATGAATCAATGAAGCTCCTACCGTTGAAGCTTACGGATTCTGTGCTTTGAGCACAGATGAAGTGTGTCAAGCTGTTTTTGTGCACATGATTTCAATTAGTTCTAGGCTACTAGGCTTAGGCTAATCTGATGAACTTCCTGAGCCAATTCGAAGGGGCTCTGCAGAAACAGGAAAGAGTCAGTGGCTGTGCATGTTGTCTCGCTACTCGCAATGTTTGCCTGAAGATGTTGAAATGAAACCGGGCCGCTGAGGACTTTCAGATCGGGACTGAGGGTGCCCATCCAAATTCCAGGCCTCGCAGCCATGTCCAGCAAGCGGAAAGCTTCGACCTCAGGCGGCAGCGGGACCAAAGTCAAGATTGAGGCTGGGCCATGGTCGGGTGAAGTGCTGACAGCTCTTCAGTTTCCTGGCTGCAAAAGCACGTACATCACACCGGCTTCTGGCAATGAAACACCGGCTTCTGGCAATGAAGACATCTACTCGTGTAAATAAAGCTAGCTACTCCTCCTACAATCATCTTATTCGTCGAATAAGCACGACATGCGAAGAAAGGAAATTCGATCCAGAACGCGATGAGCACCCTTGTGAGTACGTGGCCACCAAGCTTGCGACCATGAACCACGAGGCCTTGCACACATGGTTGCAGCAAATGACCGATGGTGCGGTCATGCACCCATCCGGTGTCACAATGCCTGCCTCTAGGCATTTAAGACATTCATGCAGTTTTGTTCAAGCATCGCGCTAACTGGTTTATTTTATAAANNTATGTTATTATGCTTCTTCTTGCATCGATGAGATTTTTTAGGCGGACAAGACATCGACGGTGTTCCAAACGCCGATCTTGTCCTTTGGGTACAAAAAGCCCACTGATGGGTGGCCGATCCTCAAGGATTGGGTAGGCCATGCAACATCTATCTACTCGAATGGGTATGAGTCGTGGAGAGAGACGGTCGAGTTGAAGGTTCTGTCAGATGCGAGCCTTGGTCAGCCTATGACCTGGGGATGCGTTCTCCCGGCGAAGGGCTTTGGCAGGATCAGTGTGCTGATGTTTGGCATCATCTACTCCTATGCCGAGCTGCATGGCAAGCCCTGCTGGTCGGAGGAAGTGGAGAAGGAGTTCAAGCAGTGCCCCGTCAAGAATCTTAATGCCTACAATTTGATTTAAGTTTGAACGGCTTCAAACCGCATAACCTTAAAACCCTCAAGACGACTTGTAAGGGCAGGAAACCGCTAGACATTGCACCTACCACCCTGAGACCCCGATGTTTCCAAGCCTGAAGCCACTAAGACTAGACCCCTAAAAATACCACTTACCGCGACTGAGTTCGGTACAG